ATACATACACTGTATACCTACTGCACCTACTGTACCTCCCTCTACTGTAATGTAACCTGTAAAGTGCTGAGTACACCTGTTAGCGCTATATAAATATAATATACATACACTGTATACCTACTGCACTTACTGTACCTCCCTCTACTGTAATGTAACCTGTAAAGTACTGAGTACACCTGTTAGCTCTATATAAATAAAATATACATACACTGTATACCTACTGCACTTAGTGTACCTCCCTCTACTGTAATGTAACCTGTAAAGTGCTGAGTACACCTGTTAGCGCTATATAAATATAATATACATACACTGTATGCCTACTGCACTTACTGTACCTCCCTCTACTGTAATGTAACCTGTAAAGTGCTGAGTACACCTGTTAGTGCTATATAAATAAAATATACATACACTGTATACCTACTGCACTTACTGTACCTCCCCCTACTGTAATGTAACCTGTAAAGTGCTGAGTACACCTGTTAGCACTATATAAATAAAGTATACATACACTGTATACCTACTGCACTTACTGTGCCTCCCTCTACTGTAATGTAACCTGTAAAGTGCTGAGTACACCTGTTAGCGCTATATAAATAAAATATACATACACTGTATACCTACTGCACTTACTGTACCTCCCTCTACTGTAATGTAACCTGTAAAGTGCTGAGTACCTGTTACCACTGTATAGCGTAATGTAACTAAAGTGCTGAGTACACCTGTTAATATAAATAAAATATACATACACTGTATACCTACTGCACTTACTGTACCTCCCTCTACTGTAATGTAACCTGTAAAGTACTGAGTACACCTGTTAGCACTATATAAATAAAATATACATACACTGTATACCTACTGCACTTACTGTACCTCCCTCTACTGTATGTAACCTGTAAAGTGCTGAATACACCTGTTAGCGCTATATAAATATAATATACATACACTGTATACCTACTGCACTTACTGTACCTCCCTCTACTGTAATGTAACCTGTAAAGTGCTGAGTACACCTGTTAGCGCTATATAAATATAATATACACTGTATACCTACTGCACTTACTGTACCTCCCTCTACTGTAATGTAACCTGTAAAGTGCTGAGTACACCTGTTAGCGCTATATAAATAAAATATACATACACTGTATACCTACTGCACTTAGTGTACCTCCCTCTACTGTAATGTAACCTGTAAAGTGCTGAGTACACCTGTTAGTGCTATATAAATAAAATATACATACACTGTATACCTACTGAACTTACTGTACCTCCCTCTACTGTAATGTAACCTGTAAAGTGCTGAGTACACCTGTTAGCGCTATATAAATATAATATACATACACTGTATACCTACTGCACTTACTGTACCTCCCTCTACTGTAATGTAACCTGTAAAGTGCTGAGTACACCTGGTAGCACTATATAAATAAAATATACATACACTGTATACCTACTGCACTTACTGTACCTCCCTCTACTGTAATGTAACCTGTAAAGTGCTGAGTACACCTGTTAGCGCTATATAAATATAATATACATACACTGTATACCTACTGTACTTACTGTACCTCCCTCTACTGTAATGTAACCTGTAAAGTGCTGAGTACACCTGTTAGCGCTATATAAATATAATATACATACACTGTATACCTACTGCACTTACTGTACCTCCCTCTACTGTAATGTAACCTGTAAAGTGCTGAGTACACCTGTTAGCGCTATATAAATAAATCATACATACACTGTATACCTACTGCACTTACTGTACCCCCTCTACTGTGATGTAACCTGTAAAGTGCTGAGTACACCTGTTAGCGCTATATAAATAAAATATACATACACTGCATGCAGATGACACAAAACTCTGTAAAGTAATACAATGTGAGCAGGATATTGCTTTGTTGCAGAAGGATTTAGATAAATTGGGCGACTGGGCATTCAAATAGCAAATTAAGTTTAATATAGAAAAATTTAAAAAGTTATGCAATTCGGGGTAAAGAACACACAACCAACTTGTACCCTAAATGGTAGTCGATTAGGAATAACAACACATGAGAAGGATTTGGGAATTGTTAAAGACAACAAACTAGGCAACAATACGCAATGTCAACTGGCAGTTGCTAAGGCCAGTAAGGTATTGTCATGTATAAATAGAGACATTAATTGTCAGGATAAGGATATAATTTTACCTCTTTATAAATTACTGGTAAGACCACACCTTGACTATACTGTGCAATTTTGGGCACCTGTTCTAAAGAAGAATATTATGGGACTGAAAAAAGTGCAGAGGCGGGATACAAAATTGATAAAACGAATGGAGCATGTTAGTTATAAAGAAAGGTAAACAAATTTAAATCTCTTTAGTTTGGATAAACAACACCTCAGAGATGATATGATAGCATTATATAAATATATTCGGGAGCCAATACAAATCGCTGTCTGGAAATCTATTCATAAATAGGACTATACATAGGACACTAGGTCACACATTTAGACCGAAAGACTGGAGATTTTGTCTAAGGCAAAGGAAATGTTTTTTTTACAGTAAGAACAATAAGGATGTGGAATTATCTGCCTGAATAAGTGGTTTTATCAGATACAGATACCAATGTTTAAACAGCAATTAAACACAATATAGTGGGATATCATTTTTAATTAGTGGAGTAATAGCTTCTGGACCCCAGGCGATATCTGACTGAGAGTAGGAGTATATACACTGTATACCTACTACACTTTTTGTACCTTCCTCTACTGTAATGTAGCCTGTACAGTGCTAAGTACACCTGTTAGTACATCTGTGAATGGAGGACATACAGTATCAAAAGTTATTGTCCCTATTATGAGAGAAAAACAAAATCAACAGCTCTAACAAACTAAGTTCTGGCATCCCATTCCAAAATCATCCATTCCACCCCACCCTTTTTGAAGATATACCAGCCACCTCTGTTCTGAGAAGATGTATATAGTGTATATGAGAATGTGTGTCCACTCACACAAAAGGGCAGACAAGATTTACAGTAAGCACTATGCATCCCGGTAGTCAGCTTTTTCCTGGCATCCACCACACCCAGATTCTTCTATCACACTGCCAGATATTGAAGCATGATTTATAAATCCAGGAAACATGCTACATCATTCCAGCTGATGCTTGGCATTGCACATGTAGATATCAGGCTTCTGTACAGCTGTTTGGCCATGGAAACCATCTCATAAAGCTCCTGATACACAGTTTTTGTTCCGATATTACTTCCAGAGGCGGTTTGGAACTTTGTAGTTAGTGATTTATCAGCTTTCATATTCTCTTAAGATCAAATGACTGAAAAGGCCATTGGTGTAAGTTTTGTCAAATTTTGCTGCCTTTGGGGCGATTGGTTGTTTGACAGAATTCCTGAAATATGTCAGAATTATGGACTATCTGTAATGCTGAAAGCCGAACATATTCGTTAATTGGTGTCAATATTCTAAATTCCACCCGAGGTGCCCAAAAATGATTGATGGGAAAAAAAGATCATTAATGGCTAGAGGACAGTCACTAAATGTTGATTTTATTCACATTTAAAATGAAAAATAAGCATTAGAGGGAAAACCAGGAGGGACAGTAAAACTAAATATCCCATTATGTATGTATTTTCAGTAAACTGGTTGGCCGATTTCAAGCCTTTTTGGTTTGCTCTTCGTATTGGGTTCCTGAATCGACATTCGGCAAAGATAGACAGGCATCCGAAAATGTTCCTATTTTGGAAAAAATGATTAAGCAGACTGTAGCTTTGTCTCCATGGACACGTCTAAGGCATCTTTCAACCTATTGATCCACTACCTCCCTCATTTTCTTCATATTAACTGTTCAGGCATTTCACTTATAATTCCATTTTTGTATGAAATGTTTTTAGATTTTATCATCCTGGTTTTCTTATTTATTCAATGAAAATGTCTCAGTATGGTTAACTTATGTATGTCCTCTCTTCTGACATTTCCTTTATCATCCTTGAGAATTGTAACAGTAGACTAACCTTCATGCTTACTATAAACCTCACCTTTCTAGTCTATTCTTGTCTGCCTCTAAGTTTTCAAACACTCTTTTGTAACCAACTGCTAATTTAAAGTCTCACCCACATCCGCCTGCCTAATGAAGTCCTAATTAACTATAGATGATATTTAAATACATGAAAGCAGAGTGGCAGTTCAAATGTATACTTGGAGGGCAGAATTCCTGCAAAATTAATGTGACAAGTCAAGAAAATATACTTAATTTCTGTCATGGAAACCCTAAAATGAAGTCAAAAAGGGTGCCTATTGTGTCCTTTGAAAAAAAGACTATCAAACTGTAAATGAGTGATTCTAAGTTGGTGTTAAGTGGCAATGGCTACTAGCAGTAGGCCCCAAAACCCAAAATCTAAATTCTGAATCAACAAAACAACTTGCCTATTGTGCTTTTCAGTTTATTCCAAATTCAGATACATTTTGGTTTGGGATTTGAACATTTGGTAGGGTGCCGAAATTCAATGCAGACTGGGCTAAATCTCCAGATCTAGTGGATACCAGAATGGCACTAACAACTACCGAGTCTATTCTATATACAACGTGTATACATTTGCAAGTGGATTCTTTCAATTCTTGGACTGGAATACAAAATAAGCAATGACTCAATTGGATAGAGGATCGTGCAGAGGCTCCTCTTTGCTCGTTTCTCTAAAGTTGGACATCACTCTTATTTTCTTTGGGGCTACACCAAAAATCAAATAGTCAACCTACCATTCTTCCTCCAAAAGACTGGCAAGATGATTAGACATCCTCTGATTGCAACAGTCTATTCCACTCTGTGGCTTCACTTGGATTATCTAAATGCCGGTTTTTATCAGTAAACTAGTATAAACAACATATGTACGATATATAGGCACGGAGGCAAAAACATCCAACCACCTTACCAAAAGTGTACCTCACAAACACTGGCAAATAGAATATATGTGAACAAAAAATACATCCCCAAAGGGGAAGTATAAGGTGAAGGATGGTAGGAGACAAAATAGTATACAGAGGATACAACCTGAGAATCAGGATGAAATGGTAGTAGAAGTCTAGGAATTAAAAACTACATATGTTGAAGTACGTAGGGCTAATAAAATAGCTCTAGGAGATAGAAAACTTACAAATGATGGAAGTTATGCACCTGTCTCCCCTCAGTGGTGTCTGTAAGTGATGGAAATCTTCCCAGAAAGATGGACCCTTTAAAGGACAAAAAAGTGCAAATAGTGTAATATTGTATAAAAATATAACCATTTATTTTCAAGGTTGTACTTACATTAAGGGTTAAAACAGCAGGCTTATCTCCACTAACCAATGGATCAAAATGAAGAATCCTCCAGTCTTGGGAGATATTGTAGTTTGCTAATGGTAGCCCAAGAATACAAATAAAATAAAACAGGACATATAAAACAAAATGTATACAAGTCCAAATAAGTATCACGCGGTCTCACACTAAATTGAATTTCCTGCACTGGGAGTTAAATCATTTGAATGGGTTGACAGGGGCATTGCCAGTGATGCAACTCATATCACTGGTGACAACCGAAATGTGTGGACAACTTTGAAAGTGGTCATGCCTATCTACTGAAGGGGCATGTCATCCTTAAGTCAACCATCTGTGCCCCAACCCACAGGACCACGCAAAGATGGCTCCTGAAGCGTTCTAATGATAAACTTGCTCTGTGCTACCTGAGGATAGTTGGGAAATCGAGACTGTCCCACCAGAAGTGAGACAGTTGGGAGCTCGGCTAATAGATCTTAACAGAAAGTCCCCTAATTTTGCAGTTATAATTTTTCATATAAGTTCTAATCGCAGTCCATCAGCATCATCCGAATCATACAACGTTAAAATGAATACAAAATTGGAAACACACAGCAATCATCTCAGAAAAGTAAACGGGATGAAACAAGGATTGCTCTTTTATTATACAATGCTTCCTGCACGTATTCATTATTTAGCCTTCAAATGTTTGTTTGAAGCTCACATTGAAGTTTATATTATTTGACTTGAAACATAAATATCAAATTAGAGCTGTACTTATTATTTGGTTACATTTCTCTACAGCGGAAAAAAAAATGAAATACCTTTATTTTTGGCTCTGTTAATGACAATTAGCTTTCAGTCTGGGTCCACACCCAGTTTGCAAACCATCCTTACGTTTCGAGATCCAGAAATTCCCTTTGTTCAATGACAAATAAACTTTTCTTAATTGTCTTCACTTGCTTTTACGTCCTGGAAAAAAGGTGCAATAGATCAGATTCAGCCTTTTGTTTAAAACAGATCCATGTGCATGATTCAATGCGTTTGACTTACATATGGCACGAGGATTCAATTCCAGACATTTGGGTGAGTGGAATTCCGTGTGTAACAATTACAAGCAGACCTCTGGGATCTTCCCTCAGCAAACTGGAAACGTTAACTGTGTAATCTTTATTACCAAACACAAGTTTATGAAGCAATTAAAACGTACATACCATGTCAAGCAACAGATCTGTGGGAAAAAAAAGGCTTGTTATTGCATTCCGTACCACAGCCCTTATTTCCATGGTTTTTGGTCTTTATTTGGCTTACTTTTTTGGGAAAAGCCCTTTCCTGCAATTGATTAATTTCTGCAAAGCTGAAAATACTTTCCAGTCCAGGGCAAAACAATGTAAAATGTTAGAATGTGTTACTCACTCATTTTTCGAGCGTCTCATAGTGCGGTGCGTAGAAAGGTTAAAGGCTAAAGTTCGGGGAGGTCAAGGAATGAGCACATGTAGCACTTGCTCTGTATAAACACAATTAATATTATTGTAAGTATATTAGAGTTCGCTTTTAATAGGAATAACTGAAAAGCAAACTTAAAAAAATAGGGAGATTTCAGTTACCTACACCAATTTGTTCACTCCACAGATTCTCAATTTCAAAATATTTGCTAAAAATTTCTTAGAATGCTGTGAGCAAAACAATACATTGGGTAATAAAATATGATTACAATAATCTGAGTTATTCAGAAATGTCCTATTTGTTACTGAGCAAGAAATGCCAAATATATTTTATTATCATTACTACAAAATAGTGAAGAATTTAGCTTTTTCCAGGTTACTCGGCACTGGATTGATCTCCTGCCACATCAACCCGATGGGGTAACCTAATGTGCATGTGTGCGAGCATTAGACTTTCCCTCTAGAAAATCACTGAGTCAATGCTTTGCTGTAGGGATTTTAAGGACTATGGACATCCTCATCCAAAGCATTAAGATGTCCAAACTTCTGAAAAGCAAGGAAGCACCTCTAGTGGTTCTCTGGAAGAAAGGCACTAGAGGTTGTCTTAAAGCTGCAGGCACCTGCGATTTAAATGCATACCTGGTACACATGTTTCAGACTTGATCTTGGATTTGCAAGATTCAATTTCTCCCAAAATTGAAATTTGAAAATGTAAAAATATTTGAAGTCAATGAATATGATATTTGCACTCTGTCAACATGAGAATGTACGATTTAGGAGGATAATATATACATTTTACAGAGGCTCCTCCAGTGACGATCCTGGATGCTATCCTCCTTTAGAACCATGTTTTGAAGTATCCTCTGTGTGACGGTTGTCACCATCACTGGGAGCAGAAGGACACTTTACAATAGTTCCTAAATGGCTCCTATGTCTCAGTCATCCTGTGCCCATTGTAGGAGCAGGGTGTGTATAATGTATGTGTATTATATATATATTGTTAATTGTTGTGTGCTCTCCGGTCCTGCTAATGCTTGCTAACAACTAGAAGAATTTGGCTGTGGAGCCTGTATAATGCCCTCTGTTGCTAGCAGCAACAGCTATATGCACAACCTGAAAGGCAAGGCTTGGTAATTTGCATATTCAGGTAGATTTGCATATTGCTAATCCTGCAGGCAGGAGAGATATGTTCTGGTAAATATTATCTTCCCGATCCCCTTATAAATATGTAATTGTGTTAGAATAAGTTGCTGTATGTTGTCTGCTATGATTTGGCAATTTGTATTTTATTTAAGTTGCCACAGCAATCTACAAGTAATGAGTCTATGGGTTAGTCCCGAGAAAATAAAAGCTTTGTATGTTAGTTTCTTTTTTGAAATTGTATCCTGTGTGTATTTTTAGGGATCCCAGTGACAGAGTCTTTGGACCTGTTTGCTGGCTGTAGGATCCCTCTAGCCCTGGGAAATGGCAATAGAGCTAGACCTGAGAGCTGCAAGTACCTTTGTAAAGGCAATGACTATAATCACTGTAAGCAGAGCTGCAGAGGAAAAGGGAGATGGGACGATACCTGCCTAGAAGAAGGGCTGCAGAGGGGATGATCTAGCATGCCCTGACTTCTTCCTGGAATTCACTCTCCCAGGCTCCTTACATCCCCTCACTATTAGGACGGGTCTCCTGTACGTGTGAACTGCTGTGTAACCCCCAGTGTAAGCTGCTGGGTTCTCCCCAGTGTGAGCGGCTGTCCCTCCCCCCCCCAGTGTGAGCTGCTGTCCCCCCAGTGTGAGCTGCCCCTGCAGTGTGAGCTGCTGTTCCCCCAGTGTGAGCTGCTGTGTTGCTGTGTTCCCCCCAGTGTGAGCTGCTGTATTCCCTCCAGTGTGAGCTGCTGTGTCCCCCAGTGTGAGCTGCTGTGTCCCCCCAGTGGGAGCTGCTGTGTTCCCCAGTGTGAGCTGCTGTGTTCCCCCAGTGTGAGCTGCTGTCCCCAGTGTGAGCTGCTGAGTGTGTGAGCTGCTGTGTTCCCTCCAGTGTGAGCTGCTGTGTTCCCCCCAGTGTGAGCTGCTGTGTTCCCTCCAGTGTGAGCTGCTGTGTTCCCCCAGTGTGAGCTGCTGTGTTCCCTCCAGTGTGAGCTGCTGTGTTCCCCCCAGTGTGAGCTGCTGTGTTCCCCCCAGTGTGAGCTGCTGTGTTCCTTCCAGTGTGAGCTGCTGTGTTCCCTCCAGTGTGAGCTGCTGTGTTCCTCCCAGTGTGAGCTGCTGTGTTCCCCCAGTGTGAGCTGCTGTATTCCCCCCAGTGTGAGCTGCTGTATTCCCCCCAGTGTGAGCTGCTGTGTTCCCTCCAGTGTGAACAGTTGCCTGCAGTGTGAGTTGCTGGGTTCCCCCCAGTGTGAGCTGGGATCTTTCCTCCAGTGTGAGCTGTCTATCATCATGAAAGGCAAGAGAAGGAAAAAAAATCCTAAAAACACTGAATTGCATTGAATTGAAAACCAAATTGTAAAATTTAGCCTAAAATATCCAAACTGTGGCTATAACTGAGTTTTACTATTTTTTACAGTTTCAAGTTTTTTAGCCCGTATATCTAGAAGTTTGGATTTCAATCCACTACTATCTGGGTCTTTGCAAGTAAACCTACCTTTTTAATTTAAATTACTACAACCATTACAGATTTACAAAGTATTAATGTCTCCTAGACCATACTAAATGTCAGAATATTAGCAATTCCACCAGTACATTAAGAAGGCTGAAACTTGTATTACTGCAATAAAGTATCTTTAAAGAAAGCCTAACTAGTAATATAGCTGCAAAACTGGTTCTTTCCTGGTCATTTCACTGCATAAAGAACTAAGATACAATGTAACGTGGAACAAAGCGCCATCTGGACTAATACAATATGTCATATCCACACTAAGCGAAAGATGATGCCGAACAATAAATCTCAGCAGAATTTTAATTATATGTCATTACTAACAATACTACAACTGATATAATTAAAGTCAGTTTATTATCCAGACTCATTGTAAATGATTGCATTGGAGATGTTAAAATGAAACAATTGCAGGCATTAGCTGAAGTCCCTGAATCTGTCATAAGGGAACCAGATGTTCGGCTTTCTGACGAGCTCCATTTGTTAATGAAGCCACATGTTTCAGTAGGTACTGGAGCCAAAAGGAATTATTCTTTCTGCTGTGTGGACTATGGCTTGTTTTAAGAGCAGCCCGGTAATTGCATGGTGTATTTCAAAGCCTTAGAAATAGTTTGGTGTGTTTTAAAGGAACACTCCAGGCATCGAAACCACTTCATTTCAGTGGAGTGGTTATGGTGTCTGGAGCATTCTACTGCTCATACCTTCAAGTCATTATTAGAATTAAACTAATGTTTTCACACAGCAGAACAGCACCTGGTGACCCTTGTTCAATGTCAAACCATTCAAAAACACTTGAAGTAAAGACAGCACCAGGGGCATCAAAGCACCATAACTACTACATTGAAAGGAACTGGTAATGCTCCCCAGAGAGCACCTGGAGTGTTTCTTTAAGACCCCAGAAATCTGATGGCATGCTTAATCCTTCCCGAAATAAAATGGTGTGTTTTAGGACCTCAGTTATCATATAGTTTATTTCAAGACCTCTATCATCAAATAGAATGTTTGAAGACCCCAGTAATTTGATGGCTTTTTTCAAGACTCTAATTATCACACACTGACCTCGATGTAATAAACTCTCCAAATGATTTTAAACTGTTAAACTAAATCTTTCCAAATGATTTACCTACAAAGATCCCCACGGAATTTAATTGTGACTTGTTTAGATAAACCATTTGGGAGGTTTTTCTAACAGTATTGAATCAGTTGGAAAGCGTATTAAATCAAGGCCAGTGTGTTTGAAGACCCCATTGAGTGGCATCCTCTCCAAGCAAGGAGCACACTGACATTGTGGAAACACGGGCATTGTTGTCTTCTTCAGTACCTTAATTCACAAACTTTAGCTAATAGCTCTACCGTCACTCTGCTGTTTCAGGAATGCAGTATTTTCTGTACACCACGACTTTTCCAAAAATGAGAATGAGAATATTATATTTTAAGTACGTACAATTTCCTTTCCAGAATATGATTGTGGGAAATAATGTGTTTGTTGAATTTTATTTTCTTCTCATTCACCAAGTTTCTGTGGCTTAGAAAAAACAACTTTTGTTTAACTGTATACATATTTCACAAGTTTTAAGAGTTGGCAAAGATTTTCTGTGACCCAGACATGCGGGGAAAGAGATTTTAGGACATTTTACATTTATTTTGCCTACAAAATATATTCAGAATGACAGGGAGCTTCAGAAAATAAATATCCTATTTAATAGCATGGTTGAGCCCTACAATAGTTTAAATCAGAGTCGACAAACTTTGGCCAAAGACCAAATGAACAGTTTTTAACCCCTTAAGGACCGAGGATGGTTCAGGACCGTCATCGGCATTTTTGCGTTGCCGACCGATGACGGTCAGAGCTACTTACCTGATCGCCGTCGTTCCCCCGGCGGCGATCAGCATGGCTCCGGTTGTGGGGAGACTGCCTGCAGCCCAGACAGTCTCCCCACGGCAGATTAGGACCCCTGTGGCCATGTGATCGCTTAACACAGCGATCACATGGTCACAATAGGTGTCCATGTGTCTGCCTGCAGGGGGACTGCCTGTGCTGACAGGCAGTCTCCCTGCTAGTGTAAAATCAGAAAAAAAAAAAAGTTAATGTTAATAAAAAATAAAAAATAATTATATATGTGTAT